TCATATAAAGAACAAAGAATAAGGGACAAAAAATATAGATAATAGAGAAAAATAGGCTATAAATTAAAGTTAAAGAATACAGAAATAAAGGACCCCCATCCAGACCCTCTGATATGCAAATGCTTAATACTTTTTAATGAAGAAAAGAATGACTTCATATTTGGTACCAGGCAAGATTATAACATTTATTCCATAAATATATATCTTGAAATAAATCAGAAAAAGATGATTGAAAAAATATTATTAAAGGCAAATTTTAAATACCTGACCTGACAAACACCGACTGAGCTGTGATCCTATTTCTTTTATTTTGAGACTGATTGACTTCAAATTTGAAACTGAGATTATCAATTCAATACAATACAATACAAATAGTTTATTTACGTCTCACCATTAATATTACAAAACATAACATAATACACGAATACATAAAATAATATAAAATATTAATGCCATTCTAAAAAGAATCATGAGAGACGGGATTAAAAAAAAAAAAAAACTGAAAATTAATAATAATAAATATCAATGTACAGCTAGATTTAAAAATTTCTTTAAAAATATTTACAGTTAAGACAAAAGGTTTAACGATATAAAAAACGACGCCTTCTATCTAAAATTAATTTGCAGATTTTGGCACTATTAATAATAATACTATCACAGTCACTTGCTAGAACAATAGACAATTTTTCCAGATTAGAATAATTTAAAAAGTTTGAATATTCTGACAAAATAATTTTTAAAAAGTTCATTTCGCAGGTCATCGTACAATGGACACTCTAACAAGACATGTTCCTCAGTTGCAACAATGATTTTACAAGTTTCGCAGGTTCGTTAACGTTGTTGCACGGGTAGCCTCTCAAATCGTCCAATCTTTATGCGGATCGGTGTAACACCACACCGAAACTGCGCGTATGCTCTTCTATGCGATTGAATTATAACTTTGTGCATGTATTCCTCGGTGTGTTATGACGTTTTAAAGTTCTATAGCTCCTCAACTTATTTCCACCGTTACCATTCCTTTGAGATGAAGTTTTATTAAGATTTTCTGACCATTCATCATAAAATTTAGATAAAAGTTTGTCAAAGAGTACATTTTTAACTAACTTAAAAGGCTTTATCCACATTTTCGGCGTCATACAGGATCATCATGTCTGCTGATAAAAATTGTTGACAAGTTTATTATTATTACTAATACACTCACTCAGGCACACATTGTGTGCAACAAGAGCAACATAATATAGTATACAAAATATCAAATTGGTCAATAAATATGACAAAGAAATAAAAACCGCAACCCTTTTATCATTTCGGGTGAAAAAGAGGTTTTTAGTATTTGTGAAATACAATGTAAGTTCAGGATAGTGCTCGCTTAGAATAACATTTTCAAGATAGATTATTAATAAAGTGTTTATGCACTTCGCATTGAAGATAATATAGTTCCAGTTTTTACATTTACTTGCGTTCAAGCTACAAACTCTGACCACTTGAAAATTTTGTAGTTAAGTCTATCGCGGTCCATGTTTTTTAGTCTACACCACTGGTTATTGACACTGTTCCATTGTTTTATGTTAGCTGGTATCCATCCTGAGTCACCGACTATCGCCGTGTTTGGTGTATATCGACCAACACCCATAAAAGAGCGAATCGCTTTATTCTGAACCGCGTTTACACAGGAAAAGTTTTTATCTCCCCATACTGCAGCTCTATAGCTGATAGTGCTCCAAACTGTTGAATCGTATAGTTTGGAAAATGTGCGAAACGGAAAACCTCCAAACGCTTTATGTTTCGAAATTAAAAGTCCTAAAGCTCTATTGGCGGCAGCTGCAACATGTTTAGCCATGATCTGGTAGTCCAAATGTTCTGTTAATACGAGTCCAAGATATGTATACTTATCGACTGTTTGTAAAGTTAAATTTCCACATTTGAAATTTGATGCAGATCTTGGTGAAGAATTCGGACGGAAATATACGACATTTGACTTGTTTTCATTCACTATCATTTTATTGTTGACGCACCATATATTCAGTGAATCCAATAACGTTTGCAGTTCCCTTTCACATCACATCCATTTAATGAATATCAGAAACGAAATATTTGAATGTAAAAAATCTTGACCTGACCTTTGTCTACCTTAATTGTCCTCATCAATGTCCTGACCGATTAAATCAATTTAAGGCAAATATTTGTTTTGCTCTCAAAAGATTGACTTTATTTTGTAACAATGTTAAGACTAATTTTTTTTTGTTAAATGAAGTTAAGAAAGAAGGTGCACGTTTTATTTTGATCAACGTGAAACTTGACCCGACCACCTTCAACTTTATTAAACTTAATACACAAACAAACACGGTTTTAATTCTAGCCTTTTATTATCAATGAACATATATTACTTTAATACATAAATCTGGTAGCAAGTCAGATCCATCAAATTATTACCATGGTGATACGGTCTGATTAGTCAGAGGCTGGACGTCTGGAATGTGGTTAATCTGTTAACGGTATCTCATTGGTTATAAATAACATTAAATGGCTGCATCTCAGCTGCTTCCGGGCTGCTTCTGGGGGAAGTGAAGGACATCTTAACGTCTGATTGGCTATTATTGAGTTGTATGCATTATATGTCAACGCGTCCGTAAGTGGGGTCGGATAAAAATCATGATAGTAGGTCATTGGTATAAACTATAATGAAGTGTTCAATTGCTATCATAATTTAAGCCAAATTTAGTTCACGAAGCCCTGTCAATTTGAGCAAACAATATCATTCTGTGATGATGAAATTTATGTTATCTTGAAATTTTGTTGCAATTTTGGTACAAAGGTGTGTAAATATGGATTATTAATGTTCTTTCAAAAACAAACCAACAATACATCTAATCTTCACTTTATAGTGCTTATTGAAACATATTTTGCTATATTTCTTCATAAACTATTTTTTTAAATAATAAATACACAAAACGTGTGCTCTATGATTAAAAATGTTATCCTCATATTTTTCATTGCTTGAACATATTGATTAGAAAATATTCAAATCACGGAATTTACCGTATTGATACGAAGATGTCCTTTCGTTTCCCCGCGTATTCACCGCTTCATTGATTTCTGATGTAAACAAAACAGACAATTGCCGATAAACAGCTGATTAGAAGAATAGAAAACAAACAAGGTGAGTAATATGTATATTTCGTCGTGATGATAATTACTATTTGCTTTGATACACATGCTCGAGATAATCAAGGTTTCCCATTTTCAGATGGTGCTGCTATTTTGCTAACCTTTTCAAATCTCAATCAGCTGATACTATATTAGGGAGGTCAGCCAAAATATGAAGTATAGAGAAAGTGCATAAAATTACATTATTATGAAAGAGCACAAAAAAAGAAATTCATTGGTTCCAAAATTTTTGGAATCGGTCAAGCGGTTCAAAAGTTATGACCATTTAGATTTCAAAAATTTGGCCGTTTTCCTTGCGAAGGCAAAAATATCATATTTTGGGCTATTTTTTAGGCCAATTATAACAAAAGGGTTAGGAACTGCAAGCAATCTATCTGCATTTTTGCAATAAGACTCTTTTATGCTTTGATTTAAGCCACTAAAGTCCTTTGTAACATCAATATTAAGAAAACTACAATATCTCAAACTTTGTAAAAAAAAACTTTGGACTTAGTTTTTTTTTGCTATGTGTCAAGGGCATCTTTGAATAAACTGCTATGTTTAGACATTCATATCTTCAAATGGAAAGCAGGCAGAGGTCTGTTGTTTTGCAGGTATGTAGAGACCTAAACAGGTAACAGAAATATATTAACAGACGTATTGCCAACATATCTGAATTTTTTTTTAGTCGACTCAAAGTCATGCCGGCAGGCCCCCTTTTTTTAGGTACGTTTTTTTGGCAAAAAAATACATTTTTGGTCAGAAAATGCTGGAAAAAAATCCCTAATTTTTTCTACTACTTGTTTTGTATTGTTATTTAGATGTTTGACAAATAAAATAAGCTGTGTAAGCTAAAAAAAATTTTTTGAATAAGAAAATCAGCATTTTGGCGTAAATTTTTGAGCTATTTTTCACCAAAAAAACACTGAAATTTACACAAAATCTTAAATATCTAATTTGACAGTAATGTTTTACAGAAGTTAGTGACTGTTACTGTGACTTTACATGTAAAAGCACTTTTTTGTCATATATTAATAGAATTCAATGCAATAAAATTTTTGAAAAATGGTCAAAAATGGGAATGTTTTGACAATTTTGGAAATCGCGGATTTTTTCAAATATTTGCGCAGTTATGAAAAAATTGAAAGGAATATTGGAGATTCCTTACATATGTTTGGTATCATATTAAAGCTTAAACTCTTAGCTTTCAAATGAACCTAATTTCATTGTATTTGGCTGATTGATATTTATCCTAGATGGATTTTGGTTAGGCCTATACCTGCATGAAAAAAAATCTATTGTTTCAAAAAACCCAAATTTTGACTGAGAAAATAAAAAAAATCCATTTGAACTCTAAAAGTTAAGTCATTGCTTAGTCAGACATTGCTATAATGCTGTTTTCTCTTGGAAATTGTATTATTTACACTAAAATATTCCAATTATTCAAAAAAATTAGTAAACATTTTACGAAAAAAGCGGTTTTTCTAATAAAAAAAGGCTATGTTGAGAACTTATTAAATATGAAGACCAAGACCGATGCAGTCTTTAAGTCCTATAATCAATTGGATTTTGCAGCAGTGACTATCTGAACTGGATGCATGCAATTGTATGCATTGTTTAAATGATAAATAAACTATTCATCATTTGACTAAATTTATTGAATGTTCTTTAAGTTTTCATTTTCAGGTCGGAGCTGTTTCTTTACCAACATTTACCATGATCTACAAAAGAGAATATATTTATATTAAACAAATTAAATATTTTGCATTTGTTCAATTATCTTGGAGTACCTGCAGTTTCGTACAAGTCATATGATATCTGGTTTACATGCAATCTAAAAAAAAGGGACTACTTTATTTGAGATTGGCTGCTGACAAAGTGGTTTTCTGGATTAACCGTCATCAGGAACGCTTGATGACAAAATGTAAGCATGGCCAAATTTTAAAACAAAACTCAATATAGTTCAATTTAAATAATTTTTCTGCGTTCGAAACACTTTACTGCAACCAATCTACAAAATAAATGAAAATTAGTACCTGGAAAAAAAGAAAAAAATCCCTGGATAAAAGTCTACAAAAGAAGAAAATTGTGTTAAGAACCTAAAAGAAAACAAAAGAGAATTAGTGCTGAAAGAAAAGAAAAGAAAACAACCATTAATCTGGCTGAAAAAAAAAGTTTCCTACAATTAAATCCTCACATCTCCATTCTTGTAATCCTCTATAACAGGCTCCTCGAAAACATTGCTGTTGTCATCATCATCGTCATCATCACCATCACCATCCTCAAAGTCGTATGCAATAGTTGACAACCCTGTATCTGCATCGTGCCCTGTGACAGTCCCTGTATACCAAAACTCCTCCCCATCAGCCTCTCGACAAAATCTGTGATCCACTCGTCTACCTTCAATAAATGCTGGATCCAGGGGCACAATCCTCAACTCATCCTTCTCCATGTCGTCTAGCAAAGGGAAGCTGAAAGTCTCGGTCTCACCATCATAAACTAAGGTGTACATATACTTACCACGCCTTACCTTTAAACCTGTAATTATACCATAGTACCATTTGCTGGATCCATCAAATTCCTCTATCAAGTGCTGAACTCTCTTACCAATCAGATCTTCAGGTTTGTCAGGTGCTGGTGTGTTTGGAACTGCCCTACTACTACGTGTACCACCTTGTGTCTTCTGCCTTTTCTTTGGAGCCTCTGTGTTTCTCTGCCTTTCTTCTTCTGCAAGTTTCTGAAACTTCTCCTTCTCTGCCTGAAGAGAAAGACTAGAAAGGGGGTTAGCCTGACCACTTACTTGTTGCACTGCTTGTCTTTCCTCTCTCTCATCTTCTGCCTGGCGTAGCACACACTTCAGATTGGCTGTCAGTTTCTCTGCACTCAGATACTTACCGCCTGCCATCACATTAAGGATCTTACCTGTGTTAGGAGTACCCAATACATACCGCCTAAATGTCAACTGAGTCTGTAAGGCTTTAACTCGCTGTTCGCTCTGTAGGGAAAGTAACTGTCTGTCAATCTCACTTGGTGTCTTCCACAAACCTCCTACTTCCTGTAGCTTCTGTGTGAGTTCCTCTTTCTTTGCCCGATCGCGCTGTTCCTTTGCCTCTTTCTTCTCTCTCTTCATGGCGAGTGCTTCCTGGCGTTGCTGGCGAATGTCTGCTAACCTCTCTACGTACCTCTGGCGTTGTTCCCTAGAGTCTTCCCTGGCCTGGCGGAGAACCTTTAGATAATCAAAACAAACCTAGACCGTTAAAAGCAGGTATTAAAACTAAAACAAAACATGAAGTATCTTATTTAAATACACTCATATACATGTGTGTGCCAGTACTAACGTTTTTGTGGAGATATCGTTGCTCATTTTTACATTGTATTTAATTCATGTTTTCTGTATTATACTGTATTTCTGATTTTTTTCTATGCTTTGTCAATGCAGTTTAGAAGATGCTTTAACTGTGATTAGCTAGTACAGGGAACCCTTGATTTTACTTCACTTAACTGCTTTAATTGGTGGTATTCTTTTAGCATTGTATTAATGAATTTGTTTTTAAAAACATTTTCTGGCAATACAGAGCAGAATAAATTCATTTAGTTGAGCTATAGATTTAAATGTATTATTAAATTTTAATCATACACATACCTGTTCACGATGTGCTTCATCCAAGCTTCCTAACCAGTTCGCTGTATGGTTCTGTGTCCACATGGTGATCCCCTCCATGGCGTTGGTGGTGGCTCTCGGCATGACTCTTATGAGGCTGTCTAACTGGGAGAAGATCCTTTCAGGTCCAACATTCGTCCTGGGAACTGTCGCCGACTCCTCCAGAAGCTCTGGTGACCAACCTGTAGCATACTTACCTCCCTCAATGTGGTCTTTCAACTGTCTGCTACAAACAACCTTGAAAGATGAAAACAAAAGCTCTAAAATCTGTTGTGTAAGGTTGTCTAACTGTGGGGAAGGACTTACCAATTTATCGAATACTTTATCCTTCTGGACTGTCTCCTCACCAAAGATGAATTCCTCTCCTTTCATCAGGGTTGAAGCGTCGGTGGACAATCTCTTGAAGGCGTCGTACAGCTGCTGGTACAATGGGGTCAACTCACTCACATGTCCATTCTCCTCCATAAATCTCCACATTGGCCCTGTCACCATTTTGGATACTATACCTAGTGCTCTGGCTCCAGCTTGAAAAGACAAAATACGGAGATCAGCGTTCACTGCTGTAAAGAGTCTATTATCTATTTTATGCTCCTCTGCAAAGGACAGAAGATCATTAAGTAGATAATAAACTCCTGCAGCATTATGAAATAAGATATTAAATCTATTACCTTTAAAGGAAGCTAGTGGCACTTCCTTTACCTGCCCTTGAGTCTGTAAAAAGTCCCATGACTGTACTGGTTTCCCTGCTTTTTCACATCCACGATCCTGCACTGCCTTACATACTGTCCGTACCATTCTCGTTGTACCTGATTCACCTGGTATACTGTATCCTCCTGGTAGTGTAGGGGCTCCAACCTTCTCACCAGAGTGAACAAGACTCTCCCACAAAGAAAGAGTCTTGTTCGCCTGCTCGGACAGACCTACTAAGAAATGAAGACCACAAAAGAAGTAATTAATGGTAACATACCTCTCTCTCTGTACTGCAGTAAGGGTGTTCCAGTTCTCAACAACATGTGGTAAGGCTTTCTCTCTCCATTCTGACAGTAAGGTAACGAACTTCTTGTTGACACTGGCCTGGTCGCTAACTGTGTTCTTTATCTTTACTGTTACCTGTCTTACCTGGTCATTGTCATCGCCTGTCATCTCAGTAATGATGCCCTCCAGTAACTTCCGATACGCTTCTGCATCTCCACATGCCATATCACGCATTCCCATGCACATGGTTTTACCTGATAGAGAAATTGAAATTGCACCATAATGATGCCCAAATTTAGTGGTGCCATCAGGCCCTACAGTTATATTACCTTCTGATGATTGTATCTCTTCCTTCAAGTGAACGAGAGCTACACTCCTAGCCTCCAACAGCATGTACTTGGCAAATGTCGATCCAGGTAGTCGTTGCGGCGTCATACCAGTCATCTTCTCCATAACAGTCTTAATGATCTTCGGAACATTCTTGGCTCCAACTCTCATACACATCAGCTCCATGTAGACTTCTCTTATGATGTCTGTATACCTACCATCATGAAAGGTAACAATTTCACGCTGGTTCAAAAAGGCTTCCATCTGCTCCTGACACTCCAAATACTGACCTTGCCAAAATGCTACTTCCTCTTTCAACTCATCAATTCGTCTGGAAAAAACATTATTATCAGGTCTCTGATTATCAATACCTTTATAATACCTTACCTGTTCCTTAAGGTTCACCTTTTCCCGCTCCAGTTCTGTGATGGTGTTGGACATCTCCTGAACTCTCTCCTCTGCCCCTCTACCTACCTCCTGTTGCTGTTGGATTTCTTCTGCAATATAAGAAATTAAAGTGTATTCTGCATTTTTTCTATTTGAGCATTAACATTTGCATCTAGTATATTTTAATAAAATTAATATACATTCAATGAAGGTATATAACTTTGTAAATGTAATCACAAATTTTATATTATACACAGTTTTAAAATTGCCAGATTATGTTGCCATCTTCAGGTCCACATTGTTTGTTTTTTGTCTTTTATCATATATTTTTGTCTTTTATCATACATTTTTACTTCTTTTTTTTTGGTTCCTGGTCAAACTTATTTAATCATGTGATATAAAATTTAATCATGAGTTGACTTATTTGCCATAATAAAAGAACATTATTTACAGTAAATTATTATATTGTAATTTTGCATATTTTATAATGCATACCCGTCTTTGACCTCGCTTTTTCAGCCATTTCCTTGTAGTGGTCCTTCAATCGCCTAGTTGCCTTCAGTTGTCTGCTCTTTTCATTAAGACGGGACTTCAACTCCTCTGTTTCCTTCTCGTGCTGGGTGGTGGTAGCGTCATCTCTCTGCTCGCTTTGTCTTTTCTCTTCCTCTAACTGCTGGTTCCTGGTAACTAATTTCTGATGTTCTTCCTGCATAGAGGAAAAAGCATTAGCCAAAGATTCAACCAATCCTCTTAACTCTAAAGGAATACTTACTTCTCCTACCTTCAGATTGAGGGACCTCAATCTGTCAACCAAGGCATCACTACTACCAGGCATGTCGAACAACTCTCGTTTCAGCATCTCTATCTGGCTAGTCTGCTTTGCTTTCTTCATCTTTTTCATCCTGTCAACTTCTCTCTTTACCCTAACATGCATGGTATTCTTCTCAGTGTCAGTCATCTTGGTTACTTCAAATAAAGAACATATTATATTATGAAATCTTTCTACTTTATTAATACTGCTATACTTATCTATATACCTGTGGATTTCCATCAATAGTCCTAGAGACATCTGTCCAGAAGGAAGCTTCCTTGAAGCACCAGTGTTGAGTAGGTCAGCTTCTGTCAGTCCATTACGTCTGCACTCTTGCAAGTACTCCAACTCATCTCTGGCCCTGGCGTCTGGATAGAGGGGCATACATACCTGTGTTGTTGAAGTAGGATCTACTCTATCCAGCTGACTTCTCAGAAAATGATAGATGGGAAAGCAGGCTTCCCCATCTATCATACCTACCAACTTACTCACCCTGGGCTGTATCTTACCAACATCAGTCCAGACCATATCTGCCATACTTACTGTGGACTGAGTACCACTCGCCATTCCATCCCCAGATGGTCCTACCTCAAACTCAGTCCCAAAACGTCTACTGGCATAGTCAGCTATGCTTCTCATGTCATCTGAAATAAATAAACAATAAGCATTAATGTACAATCTATTGTGATTCACAGAGACTAACAAAAATTAAGAAAACGGCTCATTAATTATTACAAGAGTTGAAATTAATTCTTCTATTTAATTTATTTGAATAAATGTACTATTAATACAATATTTTCTTCTATATATTATGTATTTTAACTAAAACTTTAAAAAACTTAAAAATTTACTTACCATGTATTAAAAATATCTCCAGAACTCAATAAAATCAAACTAAAATGACGAAAAAACAAAAGAAAATAAATAAAAAAATAAACTAAGTTATAAACAAAATATCAAAATCCATGTACACTTTTAAATGAATATCTTAACAAAATTAAGGAAGTTCTAGTCAGTCTGCATAGTATAATGAATTTCAAAATCAGTAGTACCTTTGACACATAGTTTTTCCGGCGGCCATTTTTTTCAAAACATCTCCACTTCAAACGATTTTTTTATCGTACCAAATCACTGCAATACCCATAAAACTTATATATTTAGAAAGATAAATGTTTGAACTTTAATTACATATCAATTTTTTGCTCATACAATATATTTTTCACCTTTTTCGAAGCAATTGAACTTGGGAAAAATCCGATATTTGTGCCGTCGCAAGGAAATCATTACGTTACGATAATCGCATTGGCGACCTCCCTAACTATATGTATAATTATCAATATACAATGGTGCTGAGTTTAATCTATCGGCTGTATTTGTATAAGTATTTGTAATATGTGATATTGGCAGATCGAACTGACTATGTATAAAGGCTCTAGTTTATGACTTGGATGCGTTAACAATGATGGTGGTTGATAAGGAAATCCAGATCCAGGATGTTAATTCAAAACCAAACAGGTATTTTACGTATATATATATGAATTCATCCTCCTGAACATAGTACCCATATATAATAACCATACACCTAATCGCTTTATGGAATTCTGTCCCAGCTGACCTGAGAATCTGTCCCGCTTCAACCATTGACATCATACTACAATCACTTTTCCATTGTGGCGTCAGATATTTTGTATTATGACGTCAAAATTTTACGTGAACCTTTGTGATGGCCAGTAATTGCAGACAAATAGCAATAAGTAGGATTCAAAGCAATTTTTAATAAATCAACTCTAATGAAATATTCTTATATATATAAATGATCACATGACATCATGAACATAGATGTTGCTTTACTAGTGCTGAAAATAAATTTTTCAAATGCATCTATTGAAAATAAATTATTGCACATGTGTTGCATGCCTTTCATAAGTTCTGCTTTGGACATAACTGAATAACAATGCCGAATATAATGGAAGCATATATTAAGGTAAATTTCTTTATTTTTCACATAGCATCTTACAGCATTGAATGATACGATATGAATCAGCAGATTTATCGTTGTTTTAGAAGTTCAACAAGAAGTTATATATTTTACTTAGTTGGGTGGCTAACATAACATTTATCTTGTCATTATAATATAAAAAAAGAAGATGTTGTATGATTGCCAATGAGACAACTCTCCAAAAAAGACCAAAATGACACAGAAATAAACAACTATAGGTCACCTTATGGCCTTCAACAATGAGCAAAGCCCATACTGCATAGTCAGCTATAAAAGGCCCCGAAATAACAATGTAAAAAAATTCAAACGAGAAAACCAACGGCATAATCTATGTTTGCTCATCATTCATCATGACAACGATCACATTACAAATCATAATTTAGGAAAGCACTGTGTAAGCAGACATTTCAGGAAGCAACAAGTCTGTAGGCTGACTGTATATTATCTGAACAAGTTCATTTCTTGTCAACTTCATAATTATTTCAAACATTTTAATAGATGTCATCCAAATTTGGTCTATTTCTTTTAGCTTAATATTCTTGCTTTTTCAAAGTCATGTTCATTTATTTTTCAACTGCACCCAGAAATATGCGGCTACCTTTAATTTCAGAAAAGGATTTAGGGAAAGGCGATGTGGGTCCCACTTTTAAAACCTACATTTAATGTTAATGCAGACATATTACTTGTTCCAAACCAAACCTTGTCAAGTTTCAGGCCCCCGGGTACCACTTCTTTCTATAATTCATCCAACATCTACTTTTGAATTTGTTGCTTGTTTGTTATTTGGTCTATGAATATCTGTCTATATATTGACAAAAAAGTCAATGAAACCACATCTTGATGGTCCCACAAAAATGTTGATAATGTGTACATTTCATTTTTTTTTCTAGCTCCTCTCATATGATAGCAGTACCTTTTTGGTCACTATTCTGTGTTGCGTCTAAATATTAATTGTAACACTTTAAAGTGACTGAACAGGTAAAACAAATTATTCTCAAGAAACAGAAAAAGAAGACTACTTGGAACAGCACCAGACTATGTATGAATAAAAACTAAGATCGGAATAGCATGGATGATATATTTATACATTTTGTACATCATTGTGAATTATAAGCAAGGAAAGCTATTAATAATGGTGCATTTTTTAAAAGTTTATTGTTTTTTTTTATTCATATTCTGTTCGAATTTCCACACAATCTGTCAAAAGGGCAAAACTAACTTTACTGAAACTTTCAAACAATATGAGAAGTGTTTCAATCACCAAAACACTCTTGCAATTCTGCAAAAATAAATTATGCATGATTTTGTGAATGAAAGGAGAAAGATCCTGACACAGTGCACCTGAGCATGTCAATTGCGAACTGACCCAATAATTTATATATCACGACCAGTCAACTGATACTGACATTATCAGAGAGTACACATCAAAGGAAAAATGCACAAATTATCGATAAATTGTTGAATATGATATTATAGAATTAAATATGTTTTATTACAAAAAAATGTGTTCTCAATCTTGTCGATAGATATAACAGAATGTCATATCAGTACCAAAGACAACTCTCTATTCAAGTCACAATTTGTAAAAGTAAACCATTATAGGTTGAAGTACGGTCTTCCACATGAAGCCTTGGTTCACACCAAACAGCAAGTTATATAGTCCATATCAATCATGACAATAAACATAAACAAACAAAACAACTATCGCTTACTAATAATCCTGACTATATGTATTACATGAACTTGTTGCCTTCAGAAATGAAAATATAAATATTCCAACTAACAAAAGCATATGCTTGCACATGCAACCAAATATAAAGCACTAAATGATAATACCAATATGAAGCTCTCATCTATAGAACTTACAAAGAAAATGTCAAGATTACAAACCGCAACAAAATAATAAAAAATATAAGAAGCCAGCTTACAACATGTTCTAAAAAATTATTTGCAATTAATATTTCATTCCAAATCCATTACCACAAAACATCTTCTTACAGTTATACTACATCTGGAAATTAGTAATAACAACACTTAACCTGTACCTTCAAAACTAATTGCTTCCTCCAAGACAAAAGCCAGATGAGATATTCATCACTTGAAGTGCTCCAGCTAGAAATAGAAAGGGGCAGGGTGCCAGTGAAGGGCAGGGCACTTTTTTTATGATAGGAAAATGCACTCCTCATTTCTTTTGTCTACGTTTCTGTGTGTATCACGAGTTCACTTTTTTTTTACTGTATATGT